TTCTGTATATTTTATTATATTTGTAATGTTATTTATCTATAATATTGATATATTATATGATGAATTTTCACATCTTTCTATTTTCAGAACTTAACATGCTCTATAGGATGTAGTTATGTACGGAACTCTGTAACTATGATCAACTTGTACTAGAGATCAGACACTACCAATGAGAAAATCACAAGAAAAATCTCGTCGGCACCTTGGGGATCGAACCCAAGACCCTGTGCGACAAAACATACATTTCTTCTCATCAGGCCAAGCCGACCCCGATAAATTGTATATTATGTACTCATTAAAATCTCAATATTTTTTATTATTCCACGATGTTTTTATTTATTATATTTGTAATAGTATAATACATTTTATTATTGCTAGATTCTTGTTTAAACTAGGTAATTATTATGTTGTGACATTTTTATTTATTGTTTTGTTATACATATATGAACTTATATTAATATTTTATTGTATTATTACTATTATATTATGACATTTGATAGTGATTATCATCACTAAAATAAAATGTTCAATGTAAATCTGATTAATATCACAATAATTTGTATATTTCGTTAGATAAACCGTATCTACAGTTTTGACTAAAATTATTTTTTGCATTGAAATTATGTGAAACCTTAAAAATATATTTTGCTATATAGTTTTACAAATAAATATTTAATAGTAATAAGTTTACGATATCGTTATGATTTATTAAAAGATGTTTAAATACACATCATCTCGAAGCAAATCTCGTATATATATTCTTAATAATTCATATTAAGTATGTTATTATAACAATGGTACCAACATTATTTAACACAATCTAATTTTTTAAAATAGCAACCCAAGATACGATATCATAAGTAAATACAATAAAGTTTTTAACTCTTAAAGTTTATAATTTTTGTTGTGCTTCAAAAATGAATTAAAAATTTGAAATTATAAAACTTATTCTATTAATAAAAGGCATTAATGACCAATAGTCAGGACCATCTCGAGGGATACATGAGAGTATATTGTTCCCTTAAAATAAAATATTCATTAAACACCTATTTTCCAATAAATAATTTTTCTGCAAAAAAAAAAACTTAAAAATATTATCAAAATTTAAAAAGAAACTTTTCAACTGGTATAAATAATTTTACTTACATATTTTTATCTAGTAGTTAAAGCGAGGTGTAATATATAGAAGTAATAAACACTTTTACGATTTAATAACAACTATACTATATTACAACGAACTAACAAATAACAGCGAGAGACGAAGCGCGTTTAAGACAGAGTGCGTAAGTGATTGACTGATCGATTGATTGACTGGAGCGACGATCTTGCCCTTAAATAGTCAGAGGAATCTTCTAGAGGCGGCGGCGGAACTCTCTAGAACATTCGACCGCCACACGCTTATGTAGAGCGACGAATCTTCTAGAGGCGGCGGCGGCCGAACATTCTAGAACATTCGACCGCCACACCACCCCCCTACGGAGTGGAGTTAGCTAGGGTCAAAAATGTCCGGGAATCTGACTCGGCGGCCTGAGCGAGTTGTTCGTACTGGCTGTGTTGATGGATCGGTATTAGGCGGTTGTTTTTGTTTGGGCGTATCCGGGGCAGTTGCTGGTGGAGCATGTGCCTGGCTAACGGTTGTGCTTTCNCCTGGCTTTTAAGTCTTACTTAAACGCAGAACGTATTCCGAGAAGCACGATAGGCAGTGACTCAGTCCACGAGTCTTTTGCGTGGGCCATGATGGCTGCCTTTAGTTGTCGGTGCATTCGTTCGACGAATCCGTTTGCAGCAGGATGCCAACTGGTAGTGGGGCGAAGCGTAAAACCAAAACGTTTTGCTAAAGTTTTTAAAGTAGCTGAAACAAACTGAGTACCACGGTCAGTCGTAACGTATTGAGGTACTCCGAAGCGTGAAATCCAGCAATTGAGGAAACCCTTAGTGACATCATCTGCTGTTATACGTTCGAGTGGATACACCTCCGGCCAACGGGTGAAACGGTCGATTACCGTCAGACAGTACCTAAAGGACTGTGATGGCGGCAATGGACCGATGATATCGACATGAACATGTTTCAAAGTTTCCCAGTGGGGTTGAGACGTGTCAATACTCATTAACCATTACAAAATACTCGAGTTTACTAAAGAATCGAATACTATAGACAATAGATCTTTGAGCTGGACTTATAAAACAGAAAGTGTTGACTTAATATAGTCCATTTGGTAATAATTGTCATAATATTGTAAATTATTAATTATAATAGTTTATATGCTTTATAATGTGAAAAATTGAAAAAACTTATATTCAATGATTTTTAAATCGTTAATAAAATATAAAATAATTATATTACTCATATATTATTGAATATTTATAGCATTACAGCCATAAAAAACTAATTTATGAGTATATTTTGCAAGAATATTTGTCTTGTTATTCATTTTTAATAATCAACATTTTATGACTATTTTATTATTCATGACTACTTTACATTTTAAACTAATAATACTATTCAAATAAATTACGAAACATATTTTTATAACTAATTATATATTTCGGAATACAATTTTAAATTATTTTTCAAAGTTATTAAAATATATGTTTCATTTATTTTTTGTATCAATTTATCATAAATATTTTTATGGAGTACATTATTAATTTTTTTTTTAATAATAGAAACATTTTTCTTCTCTCACATCACTTTTATTATACATAAGTATTATATATGATCAAATAATTGAGATTAGAACAAAGTTACTATAAAATATGATAATTAAGTTTCATTGTAAAATGTATATATACAGGGTGATTTTTTTATCATAACCCACTCAATTACTTACAGAATGAAATTTTTATAACATCGATATTAGCAGGTACACAGCATTGTTATTATCAATGATAGTAAGGTACATTGTTGTGAGTTTATAAATACACTAACTGACAATACAAAAAGTATATCTATTGATAGTCATAATTGATAATAAACAATCCGTGACTGTGATAGCAATATCATAAAAAACCAATTAGCTACCTGTATTTGTAATCCCTTGTGTATTATACCTATATATTAACTCAAAAATTTGAAACTTTAAATGTTTATATCTAATAAACAAATTAAGTTTTATTAAAAATTCAAATGCCATTTACTATTGAATTAAAAACTCAAACATTTTATTAAATAAAAAATATGTGTTACCATTTAAAAAAACAAAGTTGACACCCTTCCCAGGCATAAGGGATGAACTTAAAAAGTATTACGTAGTTAAAAATTGAAGAATAATGTGTAACTAAAGATAATAAAAAAAAAAAAAGTTTAAATTATTATTATTCTGCAAGTAATTGAGTGGGTTATGATAAAAAAATCACCCTGTATATATATATGTAGGTACCATTGGTATCTTCCACTTTCAGGGTCTGGAGTTAGATAGTGGTATCAAGTATTATAAGAAGGGAAAATTAAGTCAAATCGTGAGTCAGTCGTGAGTCGGCTAAGACATGTCTCTATGTATATTCTTTATTTTATATGTGTGTTCTGTTTTATATAATGTTTTTGTGTTGTGTGAGTATTTTATATAGAGTTTTTGTGTATTTATTTATATATATATATAAATTAAATAATTGTATTGCGTCTTCGCTCTGTTCCTGTATTGCCTGTTTGAATTTCCCACATTTATTGGGGGCCTGTCCGGGATAATCATCGGTTAACAAACAGGAATAGAGATTGGAGAAGATATCTTGTCTACTCAACATCCGGAAAATTTCAAACTATTTGTCGTGTAATATATTTAAAATATACACTTATAATATATAAGTGTTGTTAGTGACGAAAAAATATAAAACATTTTTGTAATTGTATTAGTATACGACTCCATTTTGGTTGAGTAAACACGCAATTTTTCTTTTTTCGTTTTCGCGAGATCTAGTTATTGTTAATCGTTTTCTAACATCAATTTGAATTTTATTAAACCTTTTGATTATATAACAGTTCGGGATGCCTAAAAATAAAAATTTTAATGAAACTATGGACGAAGTTTCTAGACTTCGCATTTCCCACATATATATATATATTTAGAGTGGTTCTTAAAATTAATATAGTAATATTTAAAAATTATACAATTAGTTCCAATTATTATAAAAATGAGGTACGAAATGGTAAATCAGAAAAGATTAACCCGTGCCACAAAAGGCCTAAAGTTTGAAAACTCAAAAATTTTGATAACCGTACATTTTTCATTGTTTTTTTAATTTAACGCGTGAAATAATGGATTCATACGAATTTCAAATTTTGTTTTATTAAATAATATTTGTTTTAACTTTATTTACCTCAGTAGGACGTAGATCTTTGTAAAATTGCCGAAGACAAAATGTAATATCTGTTTCTAATTTTTTTTTATTTGTGTTCTCGAATATATCTAATGTTATAATGATGTTATAATAATCTTTAGAGCATCTATTTAAATCCCATTGATTATTATCAATCATATCGTTAAATCTATCTAATTCAGTATGTATAACATCAGGAATTTCCGCATATATTAAAATTCACAGAATTTTTTTAAATTAAGACATATAATTTATACGCACTTATAATAAAATATAACTTAAGGAATTATCATATAAAAATATTCTATACTATATAGAATCTCGTTACAACAACCCAGTAAATTGCGGTAGTAGCATAGTGAAGGCAAGTATACAGATTAATTTTTTTATCATAACTCACTTAATAATAATAATATATTAAAAAAATTTTGTAGTTATTAGGTCATAAATTGTTAATAATGACTTTTTGTAATAAAAGGGCTCAACAATTTCTTGTTGTCAATATCTTACAAAAATAAATATCATGATATATTAAAAATCTCACTTGAAATTATTTAAATATTGATACTATTGAACAGAAACAATTATTTAACGGATCTGAAAATACAAAATGGCAGTAAAGTTTCTTAAATGAATGGCATAAATAGTACACATTTTTAAATATATTTAAGTCATATGTACGTGTTCCAAATAGTGTATGACGTAATAGCGTTATAATTTAACAGTATAAATAATTAACAGTAAAGCTAAAAAAATTTCTAAAAAAGTATAAGTGCAAGTCTATTAGTTGTATATGTTTTATTTGTAAAATAAAATTTTTAAAAGTCATTTGTCAATCGGGTAACTTAATATTTTAATAATTATTTTTATAATTTTATTTAATTTCTATTTATTATAATCATTACAGTCCGTTCAAAACATACGCCATTATCTCCAATAAAAGTTTTTAGGAAATTTTTATACTTTGGGAAGTTTAAGGAGGGATGGGGCTCTAAATTTTAGGTTAATTTAATATTATATAAATAGAACTGCTCTAGGTCGAGCATAAAACTAATGTGTTATTACCATTCTCTTATATGATTATATTTTTTACTTTTATTCTATTTTTGGATAATTTTAATAAAGTAATTTATATTTACCACCCACTAACCATCCATCAGTTCATTGTTAATTTTGATAGATAACCATGGTATTACATTCAACAACTTTTNTTGATAGATAACCATGGTATTACATTCAACAACTTTTTAGGAAATATTTAGAATAAATATTAGATATATAAATTATATATTTCTGAACAATAAATATATATTGTATAAGCATATTTGATAGAATATTTCACAATACAATACTATATATGGTGAATAAGATAATCTTTTACAACATAAATAGTGTAATGATTTTAGTAGTGAAAAAATGTAAATTATTTCCTTTATAATAATTTGTAGCGTCCTCAGAAAATTAATTTGAGATTTACCCTAGTGCTAATTCAACGGACTAAATAGACAAAACTTTACACACATATACAATTTAAAAGATTAGCTCACAAAAATAAAAAAAGGCTAGTGAAAATTACAAAATTAATTAATGCTTCAACTATGTTAATTTTAAAACAATTATTTCTAGGTATTTACCAGTTAAAAAATTATGCATATCCTGTTTATGTGCTTATGCCTTATTGTAAGTTACATCGATGTTAATATTTCAAAAATACAGTTTCTTTGATCATGATGGAAACTATGTGTATAAAATCAATGTTGTACTTACAGTTATATAATTTTTATTATTCATTAATTTATGTTAGGTTAAGAATTGGATAAATTGATTCAGATAAAAATTAATACAAATTAATTAAGTGCTTATAAATTATGCAGGTGATTCATTAGTTTTTAACCAATTTATTAATAAAAAATTAAAATAATACTGAGAATTTTTTAGCTTCGATGCGAAGCTGAGAAGGTATCAATTTTACCAAGATGTGTTTTTTTTTTTTTTTGTGTCTGTTGCCACTTTTTCTCAGCTTTCACGGGACCGATTTCTTTCAACAATACGTCAAAAGATCACAAATCATATCTAGGTGAAGAAATTACCTTTAAAAATTGAAAAATTTCTCTAGTGCCCCGCAAATGGGGCAAATATTCAAAAAAATTACAAATTTAAAAATCGGTAAATTTTGTCATTTTTTTTCTTAAAACTTCCATAACTTTTTGAAAAATAAACAAATCAACATAAATTTTTTTATACTAAAACTCTAGATATTTCCCTTTCATTTGATATCATTTTTTTGAAAATCTAACACTTAACCTGCTCATTGTGGGGGATTAAATTAACAACTTTTTTACAAAAACTAACTTTTTCAACTCAATATTTGAAAATGTTCCGGAAATTATGTATCCTTTAAACATATATCTAATTAAAGCTTGTTTTATGTACTATAAAATTAAAATAAAAAAAATTTGTCCCGAAACTTTATCTTCTGCATGTAAACGGCTGCCTTACTTAAAAAAACGCTATTTTTGTGTTAAAATTTTCGATTTTCGATTTTAAATTTTCAACTTAAAAAATCTAATTCGACAATTAATACTTTAAGAATATTAGAAATTAATGATTTTAATTGTTTGTATGGAAGAAGCTGGTTAAGCTACATTTTATTTGAATAAGGAATATTTTTTCGTTTTTTAAGAGTAATAACTTAAACTAAATTGAATTGTGAGGGTTGGCAAAATAAATCGTAGCCACAAAAAGAACTACATAGTAAAATTATATTAACATGAATAATAAATTTCTTCTCACAAGGGGAGACTATAGTGATAGGATTCTTTATATTTATTGAAGTTATTGAATCTAAATGAGATAAATATCAAATTATTTGAAAATTTTATTCTAACTCAAAAAAAATGCAAATTATTAATTGCCACAGACGGATTTGAACCTCGTACCCTAAGCGTGAAAAACACTAGTGTTACCGATTCGGCAACTGTTCGACGCTTTCGTCGCTTTATAAAAGTAACTATATAAGCTAAGTTAAATTTAAAAGTTACTTTTTCGACTTTAAAAAAGCAAAAAAATTTAAATAAGTTTAATTTCTTATGTCTTATGAACTTTATTCTATGTCAATTAAATTATATAATATTCATGAAAGTCAATGTATTCCCCTTTTAAGATATTTTAAAATAAAATAAAATACAAAATTTTAATACAAAAATAGCATATTTTTGAATACGATAGCCATTTGCATATAGAAGATAGGTCGTCGGGACAATTTTATTTTTTTAATATTATAGTACATAACATAAGCATTAATTTGGAATATGTTTAAAGGACGCAGTATTTCCGGAACATTTTCAATAGTTAAGTTGAAAAAATTAGTTTTTGTAAAAAAGTTGATATTTTAAATCCCACTTGTGAGCAAAATAAGTGTTAGATTTTCAAAAAACATGATATCAAATGAATGGTAATTATCAAAGATTTCAATATAAAAAAATATTATTTTGATTTGTTAATATTTGTAAAAGTTATGGCAGTTTTAAGTACAAAAAACATCCCGATAGAAGGTGATTTTTATTACAAACATTACATTTTTTTTTAAATTTTGACAGCCATTTGCACATAGAAGATAAGGTTTGGTTGTGTTGGGTTTGGTTTGGTTTAAAATTTTTATTACTTATAAAGGAGTTATAGCAATTTTAAGTAAAAAAAGGCAGCACAGGGGGGTCGCGGCACAGTGGTGACGTGGCATAGATGGATTAAGATTATGATATCTGACAGTGATTAAAATCACTATAAAAAAAAAAAGCTTCGATGCAAATCTTTAGATAGTGTTTAATTTTAAAAAATTGGGGGATTATTCCAAAAGCTTCATAAACTGCTAGTTCCTTATTAATATCCTGATTAAGATAAAGTATGTCGAATGAAAAAGGGATTATTAAAAAATAGTATTTCCCATAAAAAAATTATATTGATCAATACACTTTTCAATAAGTTATANTAAAAAATTGTATGGATCCATAAACTTTTCAATAAGTTATAGCATTATAAAGTTAAATATAATATAAATAATATAATCGAGAATTTTCACACGAAAATAGCATTCGGTAGCCATTTTCGCCGTGAAGACAAGTCCAGAGGTCAAATTTTTTTTTTT